CAGTCTCAAACACTAATTGTGACACTGAGCAAGTCATTAAATTTCTGTTTACCTCAGTTTCCCCATACACACTGGGGATAATAATAGCACCCATCTCCCAGGGTTGTTGAGAAGACAAAATTAGATTATACTTGTAAAGTGCCTCATAAATATTAAGGTGCGGTACTAACGTTAGCTATGATGATGCACCTACTGTGTGTGTGGATCTCTGAATCCTGTGATGATCCATATGGTTTGGGCAGACAGAAGGAAAAGATATGGCTCTATGTCAGAGGAGTTCACAGTCTGGTTGGAGAGACCAGGCTTAGACATTAAATAATTTATGAATAAGAAAACTGATTCAGAGTAGCCAGGGGGACATTTGCTACCCTCTTTGATTCAATTCAGTAAATATGTACTGAGCCCCTACTATGTACCCAGCCTTATCCAAGGTTAAGTGGTGGGGGTGGAAACATTATCAGAGTTCGTCTCTTCCTTTAAAGCAGCTAGGTGGTGCAGTGGCTAGAGTGTCAGGCTTGGAGTCAGGAAGAGGAGTCTTTCTGAGTTCAAATCTGGCCTCAAACACTTACTAGCTGTGTGACCCTGGGCAAACCCTGTTTGCCTTAGGTTCCTAACCTGTAAAATGAGCTGAAGAAGGAAATGGCAAGCCACTCCAGTATCTTTGCCAAGAAAACCCCAAATGGGGTCAGACGTGACCAAAATAACTGAACAACAAGAACTAAAGCTCAAAAAATAGATAAGACCTCACACTTACGTGACAGGAAGACTTACAGGACAGTACTGAGGTGTTAAGCAATAATTGTTAGTGTTTACATAGTGCTGTAAGGTTTGTAAAGAGTTTTACATATGCCACCTCATCTAATCCTCACAATAAATCTGTGAGGTAGATGCTATTATCATCCCCATTTTACAGATGGGGAAACTGAGGTTTGGAACAGGTTAAGTGACTTAGGACATTAAAGTCAGGGTGAGGGGCAGCTAGGTGGCGCAGAGGATGGAGCATCAGCCCTGAAGTGAGGAGGACCTGAGTTCAAATCTGGCCTCAGACCAAATACTTGACACTTACTAGCTGTGTGACCCTGGGCAAGTTACTTAACCCCAATTGCTTAAAAAAAAAAAAGTCCGGGTGACACAGCTAGTAATTGTCTGAACCAGTATTCCAGATCAGGTCTTCCTGACCCCTAGTTCAGCACTCTATCCATTACATCCCCCAGCTACCTGCTAAATGATGTGACTATAACCAAATATGAAAATGTGTAGTACAGGAAATATATGGCCTCAGGGAAAAGAGAGATCTATGAGGGTTGGACTGGTCCTGGAAGGCTTCTTGGAGAAGGTGGGATTTGAGATGGGGTTTAAACAATGGGTGGGATTGGGAGTGGTGTCTGGAAGAGGGCAACCAGAATAGTGAAGGGCCTTAAGTTCATGTCATATGAGTATCAGTTAAAGGAACTGTATAAGGTTGTCATGGAGAAGGGGGAGAGGAGAGGGAGATAAGAGCTGTCTTTAAGTATTTAAAGGGCTCTCCCTTGGGAAAAGGTGAGACACTTGTTCTACATGGCCAAGAAGTAAGAACTAGGAGTGATTACAGAGAGACAAATTTGGAGTTGTCATAGGAGAAAACTTCCTGGTATTGTTAAAGCTATCTCCAGTTGGAATGGGCTGCCTTGGGATGGAGTGGGTGCCACCTCATGGGAGGTCTTGAAGCAAAGGCTAGATGACTATTTGTTGGACATGAGGCAGAGGGGATTCTTTTTTTTTTCTTTTTAGGCAATTGGGGTTAAGTGACTTGCCCAGGGTCACACAGCTAGTAAGTATTAAGTGTTTGGTCTGAGGCCGGATTTGAACTCAGGTCCTCCTGACTTCAGGGCCGGTGCTCTATCCACTGCACCACCTAGCTGCCCCTCAGAGGGGATTCTTGTTCAGGGATGGTTTGGAAGAGATGGCCTCCGAGGGACCTTCCAACAAAGGTCTTTCTAAACTGGAGAGCAATTTGTGCAAGATCCATGGAAGTGGAAAGAGGGAGGAGAAGAGGCATCAGCCCAACACCTAGGGGTCTTTCCTAAGAATACAAGGTCACTTGGGAAGAAGCCACTTCAAAGGGGAAGGGTGAAAGAAAACTCATTGAGTAGGCAGTTCCTTGTCCCCATACCCATCCCAAACAAACAAAATGGTCATTGCCAAACGGCGCTCTCATCCCAAGACGGTGGGCTCCCTCCCAAATCAGTCTCTTCTTTCCTTTTGCCTCCAGAACTCTCCTTTCTTGACCTCTCCAATATCCTTTTTTTAGTGAAATTTTATTTGATTTTTCCAAGATCTGCCTTTTCTCCCTCCCAGACTTCTTTCTCTTCCCCAATTAAGAAAGCAAGAAAAAACAAAATCTCTAGTAAAAGCATTTATAGTCAGGCAAAACAAATTCCCACATTGGCCATGTCCCAAAAAATTATGCCTCCCTCTAACCCCTGAGTCAATCATTTGTCTTTCAGGTCACCTGTTTCATCATGAATTCTCTGGGATTGTGGTTGGTCATTGATTCAATCAGAGTTCTGACGGCTTTCAAAGTTGATTGTCTTTACAATATTGTTTTATTGCACAAATTCTTTTCCTGGTCCTGTTCACTTCACTCTGCATCAGTTCATACAATTCTTCTTGCTGTAACCTGAGTCCCAAAGCCCATCGGTATGGGACGCTCTCCTCATTGGTGAAGATCAATGTTCCGTCCCCCCCCCGCATCTGCACGAGAGGCAGGGTGGAGATGGCAAGTGAGGGAAAGAAAAGAGCTTCAGTGTGCTGTCTCTCCATTTCCTTCAAGTCTCTTGAGTTGCTTTGAGTGCTTTTGGCTTCCAGCTTTGAGAGAGAAGATATATGGTGCCAACCCCACCGTGGGTTGCTGGAGAAGAAAATAAGACTCTGGGAAGAAACTGACATGAGAAGAGCTACCACTCCCCATCATGTCTCTATTCCCAGCTTGCTGCTCTAGAGATTTTGGGGAAATTGCCCCTTGGGTGATGCCTGGGACTCTCTCTTGGTTTAGCTGTTACCCCACTCCCAAGAAGAGCGCTCCTTCACTCCATATTGTCTGGTATCTATTCTCCTGTGTGTTCTTTCTCTGATTTCTGCAATTGACTCAGATAAATGGGTTTCTTGCTGTTTATTATGTGCATTCTTGACAGAACTGAATTTTGTGGGAAAGGAATCCAACCTTGAATGTAAAGCTTGGGTCCTACTTTTCACAATAATGAGCAGCGATCAATACTTTGCCTTGAACCTGAAAACCACATCCCCTAAATTAACAGTATTTAAGGATGCAGATAGATGTAATTCTAACCCAGCATTCCCTCTCTCTAGAAAAGCAGAGCTGCCAAGCTTCTGACCTCAATCTTCTGCTTTCCCTCCAGGCAGGAATAAAAATCTCTCTTGGAGACAGGTATGGGGAGAAGAGGCTAGAGATGTCTATTCTGCCCCCATTTGGGCTACGCAATGACACCTGCATGTGACATGTTGGGGACAGCATCATCACATCAGATTTCTGTGAAACCATCTCAGGATGGACTTTGCATGGTAGGGGAGGGATCACCCCACTCCAATCTATTCTGCCCAGAAACATCACCCAACAGTGAAGATGCCTGGGGTAATCACCAGAGTGAAAAGCACCTTCTACCAGAAGAGGTAGAGATCTGACCACAGGCAGCATTAGTCCTGGAGAATCACACAAACCTACCACTACATGCCCATGCACCCAGACTTGTATGGATATACAGGGTTTATAGGTCAAAGATAGACAAAAAGAACCTTAAAGATCATCTAATCTAACACCTCATATTGTAGATGGGGAAACTGAGGGCACAGTGGATAGAGCTTCAGGCCTGGAGTCAGGAAGAATCATCTCCCTGAGTTCAAATCCAGCCTCAGACTCTTACTAGCTGTGTGACCCTGGGCAAGTCACTTAATCCTGTTTGCCTCAGTTTCCTCATCTGTAAAGTGATCTGGAGAAGGAAATAGCAAATCACTCCAGTATCTTTGCCAAGAAAACCCCAAATGAGCTCTTGGAGGGTCGGACACAACTAAACAACAGACCTCGGTCTATGTGGGGGGAATTGACCTCCCAGTGCCATGCCTTCTTCCACATAAATGGATCTGTGATTTCATTGATAACAGGGTGCCTCAGGCCCTTAATAAATGCATCTTACAAGTGGGTATTCGACAACATAAATCCTAACTTCTCCATGTCCTCTGCAGGATTAGAACCCAGGTGTTTCTGAATCGCAGTTGAGTGATTTTTTTTTTCACCATACACAGGCATGCAGATACATGGCACATAAATACACACACACACACACACACACAGATTACAATAATATTACCTCACATTTATAGGGTCTTGTGAAGTTTGCAAAGCATTTTACATACATTATCTTCCACAGACAAACACACGTGGGCACACCCACAACAACCTAGACACCCACACAGAAGAGCCCTCAGGACAAGACTGGGAGAGGGCTGGGCCGGTCAGGGTGGGGCAGGTTGGGACTAGGGCCTGCCTGCTTTCCCAGGAGCTTCCCAGGCTTCAAAGGGAGCCTGAAAACACTCCCTTTCCCCCTCTGAATTAAAGAACCCTTCAGGGCACTGTCCCAGTGTCCACAGAGTTTCCCTCCCAAGCAAGATCTCTGGGTGTTGTGTTTTTTGTTTTTTTTTGTTTTGTTTTGTTTTTAATGTTGGAGCAGGGAGAAGATGGCAGAGGTGCCGGGGAGCACACAGACACACAGACACATACACAATGCACACACAGACACACACCCTTTGGGCAGGACAAGAAGGCAGTTCCATTGGCATGTGAATAGAATGATGGACTTGGAGTCAAGAAGACCTCAGTTCAAATCCTCCCTCAGACACTTACCAGCTGTGTGACCTAGGTCAAATCACGTCATCTAAGCCTCCCCATCTGTAAAATGGGTATTATAATAACAGCACCTATCTCACAAGATTTTTGCGAGGATCAAATGAGATAATCTATGTAAAGCACTTTGGAAGCAGCTATAGAAATGTCAGCTATCATTATTTATTATCTTTTTCAGGCGTATGACAATCCTTGCTGGAATCTATTTCTCATACTTTTGAACTCCCCTCCCCCACTTTTATTCCCTTCCCTAAGCCAGATGAATGACTATCTGGGACCATTATTGAGAAGCAGCGTTGTGAGGGATGTACTCTGAAAATCTTAAAGGGAATTGTGAGTTATTAACATCACCATCGAGAGACTGAGTCCCAGTTGTAATTCTGCAACCCTTTGTCTAAGGCACTTTATCTCTTCAGATGTCACTTTTCCTGTCTGTGAGATGAAAGGGTTGGATTAGATGAGGCCTATACTGGTAAATGTTTAACAACTAGCTCTGTGAGGGAAAAATGTGCATACAGCACATTTATAAGTTTAATCTGTTTTATTCACATTTTTTTCCATCACTTTCTTAAGTCTAGACAATGAACAAAACAATAAACCAAGCCCCAATTTGTCTCATTCCCAGATTTCCAAACTATAAATGCCCATACTGAAAACTGAACAATTAGCTGGCCCAGATGAGCTGGCTCTGGCGCAGTCTTGCACTAAGGTGGTCTTGGTGGTCAGTCAGCCCCTTGTGATATTTGACGTTCAATATCCATCACGGAACAGAAAAGGAGCAGTTACAAGTTCATGGATCCGCACAGAGATGATCCAGGGGGTAGAGGACAACCTTCCTCGGGCTGTCTGGCCAGAGACTGAGCTGAGCACCCATAGCTTGGGCCTCCCCCCCACCATGATGGCATCCCCTCGGGAAGCACCCACAGGGCAGGGTCTCCTCTGTATCTGCTTACACCCCCTTCCACACCCACACAGCAGGCACATGCTTCTGTTCTCTGTGAAACAGCATGAGCCTCCCCACTGCCCCCACCATGCTTTTTATCCAGACTTTGTCCTCACTGAACGTGGACTTGTTCTGTCCCCCTCTAGGCTTGTCCGTCCTCTCCCACCCCCACCCCTGATCCTCACAGGGAACTTGGCCTTTCTTCCTAGGCAGATGAGCAGCACAGACAAGATCAGGGCCCTCCCCTTGTGGTTTTGCTGTTTGCTGATGGCTACAGAGGTGACTGTCCTGGAAGGGGTGGAGAAAGGAAAAACAAGTGAGAGAGAAAGCCTCCCCAGCTGACTCAGGATTTGCAAACCAGCTCATGGAGAGCCAAGGGTGGGGGTTGGCAGGAGGGGCAGCACTGGAGACACAGTCAGTGAAGGAAAGACAGCCGCTGCCCTGCAAACCTCCACAGTCTGGGGGGACCCCGAGACATGAGGCCAGGGATACCCTGCGAGAAAAGCCAAGCATCTGAGGCAGAGTGTGCCCTAGTCATTGTCCTGGGCATCCCCTGCGGACCAGGGGGCTGGAAACCAAGACACAGGGGGCCAGGAAGAAGGGGTCAGCTCTGAGGTGGTGAGGAGCTGACTGAAAGCAGGAAGTCCGGGGCTCCTGGGCACCAAGGCTGGGCAGCTGGTCCCCGGGCTCTTGAGAAGAGGGGAGCCAGGGTGGCCTGTGGGGCAGCACGATGGATAAGTTCCGGATGATATTCCAGTTCCTGCAGTCTAACCAGGAGTCCTTCATGAATGGCATCTGTGGGATCATGGCTCTGGCCAGTGCCCAGATATACTCAGCTTTTGACTTCAGCTGCCCCTGCCTGCCTGGGTACAATCTGGCATACAGTGGGGGTATCCTCCTGGTGCCCCCCTTGGTGCTCTTCCTGCTGGGACTGGTGATGAACAACAATGTCTCCATGCTGGCTGAGGAGTGGAAGCGGCCCACCGGCCAGCGGCATAAGGACCCTGCTGTGCTACGATATATGTTCTGTTCCATGGCCCAGCGGGCACTGATTGCACCTGTGGTCTGGGTAGCTGTCACCCTGCTGGACGGCAAATGCTTCCTGTGCGCCTTCTGTACAGCCGTGCCTGTGGCCACTCTGGGAAATTCCAGTCGAGTCCCCAGCCTGGCCCAGCAGGAGATAGCCAGGCTGCTGGCTCGAATCCCTTGCCAGGACATCTATGATGGAGAGTGGCTGATTGCCCGGGAAGTGGCCGTCAGATATTTGCGCTGCATCTCCCAGGTGAGCTCTCGGGTGTCTCCCTCACTTCCTGATCTTCTTCAACAGGACCTTATAAAACAATTTTCATGGTACTTCTTTCTGTGTGGCCTGAGAATGAAATCCCCTCTGCCAGCTCAGGAGCCTACCTAGCTGGACTAGGGTCAAGGCCTGGGGGATGATTCTGGGGCCTGTACAAGGCCCAATGGCGTAGCAGGTCCTAGGAGCCCAGCCTGTCCCAGCCTGCCTAAAGAATAATTGAAGGCCGCAAAGGATTTGCATCCTTTAAAACTAGGGAACCTGGAAAGGGGGAGGAAGGGCCTTGCTGAGAAAGACAGAAAATGGCCCTGGGCCATTTGGATACATTTCCCAGGCAAATATAGCCAGCAGGTCCCCTCTCCTATGTGAGAATGAGGGGCTGAGATTGGACCCTTGGTTAAGAACAGAAGTAGGGTAGGATTAAATATATTCCAGCCTTCAGTATTTCCCCTCTTGGAAATCAGACCTCATTTCTGCATGGAGTGGGGTTGGGCAGGGTTTGGGGAGACTCCTCTGGAGAACTGAAATGGAAAAACTCTCCAAAAGCAGAGTTTTGGAGCTTGATGGATACTATGGGAGACTTAGAATCAAGAGTCTTGCTCCATTGAAGGACCTTTGGGCAAGTCACCTATGTGGGCTATAGTTTTTCCATTTTGAAAGTGGGGATGGTTCTCTGCAGGATGGTATAACAGGCTCACAAAACAAAAATCATATATTGAGCCTGACTGTGGGCCATCCCAGAGCTATAGGAGACACAAGTATGAATAATAAGATCTCTGGGAGTCCAGCTGGGGAGACAAGAAAGAGGTCTAAGTTCACTAACAATCCAGGGGAGAAGGTGCTTAAGTTTCTAAAGAGCAGCATGATCAGAGGAGAGAGAACGCTAAGGGAGGGCTTGGTTAGAGAAGGGCTCTTGGAGGAGGTGGTTTATTGAGATTCTATCAATGTGAAATAATATGAAGGAATGTGAAATAATAATAATATATTCATATAGTCTGTAAGGGGGAGGGAAAGAAGGGAACAGGCATTTATTAAGGGCCTGCTCTGTGCCAGGTTCTGTGTCAGATACTTTACAAGTCTTATCTCAGTTGATCCTCATAACAACACTGGAAGGTGAGCTCTATTAATATTTGGGGGGGGTGAGGCAATCAGGGTTAAGTGACTTGCCCAAGGTCACACTGCTAGTTAAGTGTCAATTGTCTGAAGCTTGATTTGAATTCACATCCTCCTGACTCCAGGGCCCGTGCTCTATCCATTGTGCCACCTACCTGCTCCTGGTAGGGTTCTATTATTAATTCCACTTTGCAGTTGAGGAAACTGAGGCAGATAGAGGTTAAGTGACTTGCCACTGGTAGGTCCTATTATTAATTCCACTTTGCAGTTGAGGAAACTGAGGCAGATAGGGGTTAAGTGATTTGCCTCTAATAGGTTCTATTGTTAATTCCACTTTGCAGTTGAGGAAACTGAGGCAGATAGGGGTTAACTGATTTGCCCAAGATTGTACAACTAGAAAGTGTGTGAGGCTGAATTTGAACTCAAGTCTTCCTGACTCCAGGCCCAGTACTCTATCTCCTGTGCCACTTAGGTCCTTCTCATCTGTAAAATGAAGGGCAAATGTTAGTATCATTCCCATTTTACAGATGAAGAAACTGGGACTCTAAGAAGGCACACAGCTGGTAAATATCTGAGGAAGGATTAAAATCCAGGTCTAGGGACTGTAAGTTTAATATGCCTCCCCAGTGGCAGTGACAGGGGCCTGTAACTCCTGAACAGAGAGGGAGGTGGGGCATGGTAGGAAGGAGCTGCTATCCTTCTCTACTCACCCCTCCACTTGGGGTCCTTTCAGGCTTTGGGCTGGAGCTTCGTGCTGCTGACCACACTCCTGGCATTCATCGTCCGGGCAGTTCGGCCCTGCTTCACCCAGGCCGCCTTCCTCAAGAGCAAGTACTGGTCCCACTACATCGACATCGAGCGCAAACTCTTTGATGAGACCTGCACTGAACACGCCAAGGCCTTCGCCAAGGTCTGCATCCAACAATTCTTCGAAGCCATGAACCATGACCTGACCTTGGGTCACTCCCACCCAAGACCAACCAAGGCCCCTGCTGAAGGGGAGGAGGATGAGCGGGGGAAGCTTCATGGCATTACTGACCAGGGTACCATGAACCAGCTGCTCAAGAGCTGGCATAATTGTAAGCCCCCACTACGGCTGGACCAGGAGAAGCCACTCCTGGAGAACGGGTGGGCAGGTGGGGTGCCTGGGCCTGGCCCAGCCCCGACCCTGAGGAAGGAGGTGGCCACCTACTTCAGCAAAGTATGAGGGAGCAAGACCTGGCTCCAGGTCTGCAAGCCACATGCCAGGTTCAGGTCTGGGTTGATGAGATGGAGCAGACATCTGCTTCCAGGTTCAGGACCACCTTGTTACCATCAGCCTCTCATGCTGCCAACCAGAGAGGCCACTGGGTCTCTTGAGGTCAGCATCAGCAAAAGATTTAAAAGCACTTTTCATGAGCCAGGAAACCATATTGCGACTACTGCATAATAAGAAGAAAATAAGGATCCTGGAGCTGCTGGTGGTTGGTGCTATTGGTCAAGGGCCCATGAAGCCCAGGGAGCTAGACTAGCAGTCTGGATGCTCCTGGCCTGCCTCCTCCCACAAAGGAGAAATTTCTGATGTGGGAGCTGAGAGAGAGAGAGAGAGAGAGAGAGAGAGAGAGAGAGAGAGAGAGAGAGAGAGAGAGAGAGAGAGAGAGGCTGGCTTGTCCTAAATCAACAACTTCACTATTTCCCTACTCCTTAAAAAAAAATTCACTCACTCTTCATGGGGAGATAAGATTAGCAGTATTAATCAGAATAGATCAGAGTAGGGTTAATGAGTTGTTGGGAGAAACGGGGGAAAGAAAACAGGGAGAGATTTCTGTAGGTCCCCAGCCTTTTTCCATCCAATACTCCCTTCCCTAACAGGTGAATTAGCCCTTGTCTTCTCTCAGCAAGAACTGGATAACCAGTTCTAATGTTCCAGGAACCTTTGTTGGGGATATCACAGGAAAAAGTCTGAAAAGTCACAGGAACTGAGATTTGTCTTGTGGGGTAAAGAGAGATAAGATGAGGACCTTACCTGCACATCCCTTACCGTGTGAGATAGACAGTTAGCATCTGGAGACTGAAAATTCTGCTCCAGGACAGGTGAGCTGCACAGTATCTATGATGATGTTCATAATGATAATACTGAGACTTTGTGTTTGAGAAAAGCACTTTCTCCTCCCCTGGAGTTCAGGGAGCTTGCTGTATATTTCTCAACTTACCCTGCTGACTGATTACCTTTGAGGCAAGGATCTGGAAGGCTTCCCCATTTTACAACCAGGGAAACTGAGGCTTAGAATAATGAAACAATATCCCCCACAAGGCCTAAGCCCTCTGGAATTCTTCAGGCTCAAGGATTTTGAGATAAGGACCCTCAACTTAATCACTGTCTATGGATGTGTCTATGGATGAGCTTGGGCCAATTCTGAGTTCTGGCTTCAGCAGTGATGTGTTGCACCGAGCCATTTCCACTGTCCCAGTCCTCTCTATAACCCGCAGCAGCTGGGGTAAGAGAGGTATTACCCTCCTTTTAGCCCCACCTCCTCAACATTGGACAGCACCCGGCTAGATGTCACCCATCATTGTGGGCCAGCACAGCCGCTGTGGCAGCTTTCAGAAAGGCACAGATTGTGAGACTTTATCTTTAGGATTTGGGAGTTAGGGGAAAGGATCTTTAATACAACCCCTACTATCTTCCCCAGTGGAAACTACTTGGAATCATGGAGGGGTATGAGGGGAGGTAGGGAAGGTCTGCCTCCACAAGATATATACGCTATAAAATATTTCTCCTATAAAATATCAAAAGTGTAATGATGCCTTTGTCAATGAGAATTGCCTTCTCCATATTCCTAATTTAAGATGTGAATACCCCTGAGAGAGGGCACACATTCAGTCCTCAAGCCTTCAGGGTGAATAAATAAATTGCTTAATTAAATGAACATTTATTAAGGTCTATTATATCTATAGGACCATGCTAGGTTCTGAATGAATTTTTCTATCATCTTTCAGTCTCACTCACTCCCAGGCTTTGAGATCCTAGGTCTTCAGAATATTCTTCTCCCAAAGGGGTAGGAAAGTGGGAGGAGGCAAAGCCATAATTAGAATCCAGAGAAAATTCAAGTGGCAGGAAGGGTTGGGATTTAAACACCAAATACCACTATGCCCATTCCCTAGTAGAACATGCCATGCTATGGATCCAAACAGCTTACTATTTAGTTCCTTATTCAGAACTGATGCTAAAAACTTTAAATATAAAATCTTGCCCTAAGAGGAAGCCTATGAAATAGGTTCATAGGATCATAGAGTTGGAACTGAAAGGGAACTTAAAGAACATTAAGTACAACACCCTCATTTTACAGATGAGGAGACTGAGGCAAATGCTTTGTCCAGGGTCACACAGCTAGTAAATATCTAAAGCAAGATTTGAACCCAGGTTTTCCTGACTCCTTGACCTCTCTCAGTCAAGTAAGATACGTAGATTTATGTAACTGAAGAGGGCTGTCCCCTGTACCAACATTCCAGCTTCAACCGAAGTTTGCCTGGCTGTAAGAATGAAGTATAAGGTGGGGGAAGGTCTTAGTGGCCTCCAAGTTTGATACGGATCAACATTGTGTTAGGTCAAGAAAGCTAATGCAATCTTAAATTGCATTTAGAATGGCACAGTGGCCAGGGCTAAGGAGTCCATAGCGAGGGATTCTGCTGTGGATCAGACCACATCTGCAGCACAGTCTTCCATTCTGGATGTCATATTTTGGGAAGGATATTGATAAACTGGAAAGGGTTCAGATGAGGACTACCAAGATAGGGAAGAGTTTCAAGTTTAATGCCATATGAGGCTTGATTGAAGAATCGATTGAGATAGTTACCCTGGAGAAGGGAAGACTGGGAGGGGAAATGGAAAGGTAGCTATAAGATTGCTATCTTTAAGTATTTTGAAGGTTATTTATTCAACGCTTCCTTTGACTCTGCAGTTAACCATCTCACAATATAGGGCAGTAAAGTCCAAGATCTCCCAGAACAGCAAAGCCCTTCCCTCTCCCCATTCCCATATCACTTCCAGCCATGCCCCTGAAGCAATAGTTGGAAAGTAGAAAAATGACAAATTTAGACTTGATATGAGGAAAATTTGTCTTACAATTGCTACTGTTGAGTCATTTCAGTCCTTTCCAACTTTTCGTGACGCCATTTGGGGTTTTCTTGGCAGATATAGGAGTGGTTTGCCGTTTCTTACAATTAGGGAAATCTCAAAGTAGAATGGAGGGAAGCTAGATGGCTCAGTGGATAGAGCACTGGGTCTGGAGTCAGGAAGACCTGAGCTCAAATCTGGCCTCAGATACTTATTTTTTTTAATTTTATTAATTTATTTTGATTTATCAACAATCACTTCCATATGCTTTTGAGTTGAAATTTTTTCTCACCCTTTCTCCCCCCCGCCACCCTCCCCAAGACGGCACACAATCTGATATAGGCTTTACATTTACTTTCCTATTAAACATATTTTCACATTAGTGAAGTTGTAAGTAAAAATTAAAACCAATAGGAGGAACCACTCAGACACTTATTAGCTGTGTGACCTAGGCAAGTCACTTTATACTGTTTGCCTCAGTTTCCTCATCTGAAAAATGAGCTGGAGAAAGAAAAGGAAAATGGGGTCACGAAGAGTTGGACACAACTGAACAACAAAAGTAGAATGGGCTGTCCAGGGAGGTAATGGGTTCTCCCTCCCGGAGAGAGAGGGAGCCATTCCTTATCTGGGAGATGCAGTGGATTCTAGTTCAGGGATGAGTTGGAGTAGATGGCCCAGAGGTCCCCTTCAATCCTAAGATTCTGGAAAGTTAGATGCTGACTTTGTCCAGGGCTTTGGCTGTTAGAAACACTCCCTTCCTCACTTTGGTATTTGGGAAGGATAAACTGGAGGAGAAATTCTAGGGTGGGTGGGGGACTGCATTGTGGGATCTCAGGACCTGGGAGCAGAGTAAGAAGTCAGCACCAAAACTAGACACTGTTTCTAACTGCAGCTGCAAGACAGAGCCTCACTCCTCCTCTCCCCATTTGAGCTAAATCTCACTTCTAGCTGCCAAAGGGGTGCAAATGAGTCACAGGAAAGGAGGGGGAAGAGGGAGGGGAAAGTATTGGGTCTGGCAGGGTGTGGCCTGTATAAGAGAAAACAAAACTCCTTCCTAAAGAAACAGAAAATAGTGACACCCCCAGAAAAAACCCCAAGTCCCGTGCCTCTATCCACTCTGCAATGTCACCTCTTCTGTGCACAAATAATGAAACGGGACCAAATGTTATGAGCCCATGACAGGCACAAAGTGTTGCCTTAGTTCAGAGGATCAAGAAATCATACCCAACTTGGGGCCAGCAGAGAAGGGAGGGGAAGACATAAAGAAAAGCTTCATGAAGCTGGCATTTGACCTGGGACTTAAAAGAGGGAACAGGATTTGAAGAGGTCGTTTGGGATGGGGGGGGTGTGGAGCATGGAGTACATTTCAGACAGAGGGGAGAAAAGCCTAGAAAGCAGAAGGAAATGCAGGCCTCTTAGCCTGGGCATATGGCTCTCTTGGTCACCTGGCTAGAGGTACACGGAGAGCAGGGATGTCGGTTCCTATGACTACACAGTGTTTATCATCCCTGATAATCAACATCATCAATATTATCCTTCCATCAACAAAACGGATGGAAAGGAGCAGAGGCCCACGGAATCCAAAAGAACAGAAGACCCCAAAGTAATTTCTATTTTGTTTGGGATTGCATCATAGCATACTATTGTTTGTCCCTCTCAGCAACAATTACCTTCCTGACCCTGTCTATCTGAGGCTGAGGGTACTTTTGAGTTTGAGCTTCCCTTATCTCTGAAAAAGTCCACGGTTCTTCCTATGGAGAATCCACAGGATAATCTCTGCACCTCCTTGCAGCTCAGCTCCCCTCCTCCATATATACATTCAGATAGCTAACTGAAAGTAAGGGGAATGTAGCTAAATACCTTCCTAAAGCCTGATCCCCCAAAGAAATGCAGCTGTTAGACCAGTTGTGTAGGAAGGGACAGACTAACAATTTACCACCTCTGGTCTCTCTCCTCCCAAATTGAGGTTAGGAAGGAGTGCATGGAAACCAGTTTTTGCAAAACCACGGAGGCAGGAGATGGACTGAAAATTTGGGGCAACAGCAAATAGGTCAGTTTAGCTGGAAAGTAGAGAGTGTGAAATGTATGTAATATGAAATAAGACCGCAGAGGTAGACTGTGAATGGGTTTTTGGAGATAATTTAGGACAGAAGGATTTTGATGAACCTAAAGGAGAAGAATTGGCAAGGAGAGGGCCATGGTCTGTTAAAATGCAGAGCAGGGCCATGGTCAGTTAAAATGCAGAGCAAGACATCAGAAGGCAGAACAAAGGAGAAATCAGGGGTCTCCCCTGCCCAGCCAAGAAGGCAGAGTAAAAGGATAGTCAGAGGTGGACAAGAATAATCTTTTCTTCTAACCCACAGAGAGCTCAGGCAGCTGGGGTCCTAGATTCCCTCAGCAGCCCATGCCAGGTAGGTGATGGAGGTGGGGAAGATGAAGGAGGAGGCCCTGCAGATAGCTATTGGCACTCTCTCACTCTTGAAATAAAAAATTTGTCCTCATAGGATAGTTATGAGAATACAAATCCCTCCCTTTTTTGCTGAAGGAGGGACTATGGGTGTGAAGCTCATAAACTATCACTTGGCTGATACGTTGTTTAGTTTTGCTGGACTTTTTTTCTTTTTTAAAAATTTTGTCAAAATAATTTTTTTTTGTCATAAGGGATGGATCTGTGAAGGAGGGGAATGGAGGAAATATATATTAAAAACTTTAGGTGATGTAAAAATAAAAACCACCAATAAAATTTAATAATAAAAGAAAAAAATAATTATTTGGTATATATTCGCTTTTACTTACTTGTTCGCCTGTTGTACCTCCCCAGAAGAAGGTAAGATCCTTGAGGGCAAGGACCATATTGGTTCTGTTCTTTTTTCTTCAGCTCCTATCCCAGTACCTTGCAAACAAGAAGGGGCTTAATAAATGCTGGTTGAATTGATCTTGGAAGCACCCAGACCAGATCTTCCCGCAGACCCAGTTGGCTCTCCTCTCCTCTTCTTTGACCTCCCCAACTCCTAATCTGGGGAGCCAGCCGGAGTCCTCTAGACTGGTCTCTCGGGCTTATTGACGTCTGAGCCCTTTGTCCCCCGGGGGCCGGGCTCCCTGACCTCGGCTCCTCTCCCCTGTCCCAAAGCCGGAATGTCTGCGCCAGTGGGAGCCGACAACCCAACTCTTAGAAAGAGGGACTGGAGTTACCCCGTGGGGCTCAAACTCGCTGGGCCGGGTGGGCGGAGCTGCGGAGCAGCCCCGGGAGGGCCAGCGGACGGGCGGCCTCCTCCCCACTCCCCCGCCCCCCAGCTCCCCAGCTCCCCCCTTCTTCCCCTCCCTTGAGGACGCTGGGGAAGCTGTTTTTCCACTCTCGCGCACACGCGCTTTTCCATTCTTTATTTATTTCTTTTTGGGTTTAAACTTTCTCCAAGCCTCGCTGCCACTTCCCGAAGCTGCTGCCCCCTTTCATCCCTCGCTGGGCCTCTGCGATCTTCCCCCTCTAATCTGACCCTGCAGGAAGCCCCAGCCCCAACCCAGCAAATCAAAACCCCCAAACGGAGCCTGCTAGGAGGCAGAGGAAACGACTGCTGAGCGCGAGCAGGAGGCCGCCGGGCGTGGTGCCTGCTGCCTGTGCCCGCTGCCCAGCCCGGTGGGGGCTGTCCCCAGCCCTCGTACCCGACACCCTTCCGGAGCCCAGATCCCAGGTGAGTGACCGAGCTCACCCAGAGGGGTTGGGGGAGAACGGATGACAACTTTTGCAATACTGTGTCATTAGCGGCCAGAAGGGGACAAAGCGGCGAGGAACGGGGCCTGCCTAGACATCTGCCCCCAAGGCATGAAGAAAAGGCCTCAGCCCCACAAAAGACACTTCTTGACCACAGAGAGTACCCCCCTCCCCACTTGAGGGGACGCACATGGCCCTTGTTCCCATCCCTCAGTGCTGGTGAGATCTGGGCTCTAGCCCTGGGCATCTGTATCTCATGCCTGTCCGTGGGCAGTGGTTTGGCCCCTCAGAATCTAACTGTTGTCCAGCTCCAATTGGTCATCTGGTCTTCCGTCTTCAACTTATCTGGGTGGCGTTTGTGAAACTGAGCCTCCCCAGCGATAACACTAGAATCTCTGTGGTCATAGAAAGGGGAGAAGACCCAAATGGGGACTGGGGGAAGGGGAGTAGGGATTGCCTCTGGTGCCCTGGGCCATTATCCCCCAGCCCTTCCCACAAAGAACTATAAACTGCTTTTCAGAGAGTTGGTCTCTGAAGTCCAGGATCTTGTCTTTACCCTCCCCTTTGTTTGTGACACTGGACTGTGCTGGGTGGCGGGCCATGTAAGGAAGCCCCAAAGGAGCCTATGAAAGGAATGTTGAGATCCAGATTTAAGACTCAAGTTTAGCAGGACAGGGCCTGGTTTTGCTTATACAGGATTGTCCAGACTTCTGAGTAAGGCTCTCTTGGATGAACAGGAGGAGGACCTTGAAGGGTTACCAGGAAGGGGGCTGGGAATGAAAAGAGGGAAACTGGAACTGCATCTTTTTTTAATTCTTGTCACAAAAATTAAAGGTTGGGGCACAGCAGGCTGAGAAGTGGTGTGTGTGTGGGTGTGTGGGTAGGTACTTTGTACCCACAGTACTGGCGATTCTCAGGCCATGGCTTCCCTAGGTACTGCTGTCTTCTAGGAAGTACATATCTGTCCTTGAGTCTCCCTGAAAGCTTTACAAAAGATAAGGAAGAGGGTCTTCCTTCCTCCTAGACCACAGAGACAAGGGGGAAGATGTCACTAACACTTAGCAGCTTCGGGGAATTCCTGTTGCCTGAGCCTAAAACATACACTGAGCCCAAAGAATTGATTTGTTGGTCTATACGTATTTGCTCCAAGCACAGACATCTATGGAGAAATAGGTTAGCGCAGGGGTGGGGACCCTGCGGCCTCGAGGCCACATGTGGCCCTCTCGATCTTCAAGTGTGGCCCTTTGAATCCAAAGTTCTTTTGCATTCAATCAAAGGGCTGCACTTAAGGACCTAGAGGGCCGCATGTGGCCTCAAGGCCACAGGTTCCTCATATCTGGGTTAGTGGGTAACAATAGGTAGGAGCTATTGTTCGTCAATAAAGATCATCAATAAAACATTTTTAAATGCAGAGAATATAGCAAAATGAAGTGTTAAAAGGGACATAAATAGAGCAATTTTAGTGTTACCTTGTAAAATGTGATAAATATATATGCATGTTTATTTAAAAAAACAAGCAAACTATAAGTAATTAAGGTTTGTAGATTTTTATAGAAGTTTACAGTTCCTTATACAATCTATTGTATTTGTTTGTTGATCATTGTCATGTTCACAAAAAAACAAAAACAAATAAAAACAGAGGAGTCCCCAGGAATAGGACCCAGAAGACGGTAGAGACCCTTTGCTGAGGCCTCCCACAGTCTCCTCCTTTAAATGGAGCACACAGCTTCCCAAAGTCTCTCGTTATTCCCTCACTCACCCCAATTTCTGGGCCATCACCTTAGAGACAGAGTTCTGAGAAGTAAAGCATTGGGCTGGAGCAGAGCAGAGCAAAGATAGGCAGGTACCCAAGCTCTGCTCCCAATTTCCCTTTTGCCTCAAGCCCGGAAGCCACTGTTTTCCGAGACTGTGGGGTAGAGATGGGGCCAAGTTCTAGATGGGAGGGGGGAAGGCAGCCTGTGGTTAAGGCCCAAGGAGGGGCTTTGCAGAGAGAGCATCCCAGGGAGAGGAGGCCGACGCTACCTCCTGACATTTTGCCACTGCTGATTTTGCTCAAAACAGAACTGAAAACTTGTTGGCTCTGCCCATCTCTCAATTATCTGAGCCCCTTAATAGGAAGACAGAAATTTAGAGGCTAGCTAATCTGGTGTCCTTCATTTTGCAATTCCTTGGAAACACCCTTCCCTTTTCCTCTCAGGAATTCTACACAGCATAGCATATTGGAAAAAACAAAAATGATGGATTCAGACTCTGAGGACCTGGGTTCAAATTCTGGTTCTGCCTCAGGCAGAGTGGATGACTTGGAAAGTAAGGAGACAGGGGACTGAGAAATTCTATTACTTTTTAAAATAGTTTGTTTTCCAACTTGCATTAAAGCAAATGCCTTCTATGTACCCAGTGTGTTGCTAAATGCTGGGGATGCAAAAGAAGGCAAAAACTAGCCTTTCCCTCAAGGAGCTCCCAATCTAATGACCTCTCAGAGAAGTCAGGAGCTCTAGAGCAACGCCGCCTTTGATTCTGTTTACTCTTGGCTGATCCTTCCTCTGTCTTAGCTTCAGTTTTCTCATTGGTAAAATAAGGATAATAGCACCCATCCTACCTGCCTCTCAGGGTCATTGTGAAAATAGGACAGTGCTTTTGAAGATCTGTGTAAATGAGATAGTGTTATTTTCTTTTCATACAACCCAAGAAGTAGGAATGGATAAGTATTATCTTCTCCCATTTCACAGATACAGTACCAAGGCCTGTAAAGGGAAGTGCCTTGCTCAGGGTCACACATTCTGTGAAAGGATACAGAACATCTCTTGACTGCTACCTTGAGGTTCTTTCCAGTAGATCACATGTCCCCTGGTCAACCTTGTCCCTTTTCCCCAGTAATCACCAGGATTCTAATACCTGAATTCACCCAGGCCCCTTCTCTTTATTTCTGCAGATTGAACATCTTGGTTCATCACCATGTCAGCCCTGATTGTGGAGAATTTCCGCTTCCTGTCGCTCTTTTTCAAGAGCAAGGATGTGATGATCTTCAATGGGCTGGTGGCCCTGGGCACAGTGGGGAGCCAGGAGCTGTTCTCCGTGGTGGCCTTTCACTGTCCTTGCTCCCCAGCCAGAAACTACATTTATGGGCTGACAGCCATTGGGGTCCCTGCCTTGGCTCTCTTCCTCATTGGTGTCATCCTCAACACTCACACTTGGAACCTGGTGGCTGAGTGTCAGCTCCGCCGGGCCAAGAACTGCTCAGCTGCCCCCAATTTCCTTCTCTTGAGCTCCATCCTAGGTCGTGCAGCTGTGGCTCCAGTCACCTGGTCTGTCCTTTCGCTGCTCAGAGGAGAGGCCTACGTCTGTGCCCTCAGTGAGTTTGTGGACCCCTCCTCACTGACAGATGACAGGGGAGGTTTTCCCCAGGACCATGCAGTTGAGGTCCTGGCCAAGTTCCCCTGTGGGGAGGCCCCAGCAAACTTGTCGGGCTTCCAGGAGGAGGTGAGCCGAAGACTCAAGTATGAGTCCCAGGTAAGTCAAGTTTTTGTGGAAAGTGAAGAGGGGCTTAGCTCCCACACCCCTTCAGGAGCTGGGATGCTGTGCTAGAGGATGTACTAGCTGCTGCTGATAGAATCGGAACCTTTATTCATAGAAGCATAGGTTTAGAGGCAGAAAGGACCTTAGAGGCCATTGAGTGCACCCCCCTCTTTTTTACTGAGGAGGTCCCTTATTGATGCAACCCTTCCCCAGGGTCACATAGGTAGCAAGTATCTAAGGCAGGATTTAAACCCAGGGCTCCAACTTATTAATTTTCCTAACTGGGGGCTCAGAGCTATGGTGAGCTATTAACTTTTCTGATGTACACTCCATGTATCTGGTCATTATATTGTCCCTACATGAAAAAAAAAATCAAACCAGTTTTTTGTTTTTTCCTCTTTTTTTTTTTTTGGCTAGGCAATGGGGTTAAGTGATTTGCCCAGGGTCACACAGCTATTAAGTGTTATGTGTCTGAGGCCAGATTTGAACTCAGGTCCTCCCGAATCCAGGGCCAGTGCTCTATCCACTATACCACCTAGCTGCCCCCCAGTTTTTTTTTTAGGAGGGGAGGGCAGTGGTAGAGAAAAGATCACACCTTAAACCACCCTTCCCCTTCTCCCCCCAGCTCGAGGTAGGCAAGGAAAAATACTGGAAAGACTTCAGTTTTGCTCCTGTTGGGTAGAGAGGAGAGAATAGAAAGGATCTAGTACCAACCTGCCAACTTTACTCTCCAGAGTAAGAAGAACCTTTGGTGTTAGAAGTGGGTAATGCTCGGTGCTAATAAAGCCATATTAATGATTCCAGTTCCTTATTCTTCAGTCACATATTGATCCCTTGCCTCATCCACAGACTGACCCTGGGCATAGTCTGGTTTCTTTAAAAAAAAAAATTGGACCTGTGATTTTATTGGCATAGGGCATTCTCTCCACCAAATTATTCTTCAATTTAGAAATATTCTTGGGAGGGGGCAGCTAGAGATAAAGTGACTTGCCCAGGGTCATCTG